AGTAGGAGTTTGGCATTTGATGTTAAGAAAGAAAATGTACGCATGCAAAACCATTGTTGTTAGAATCTGATTACATATAAGAACTACTCCGCAATGTCTACCTACTGTTATCAGCCACATTCTTTTTATCTGAAGATGGTACTCACTCTTACCAGTATAGTCAAGAAGAAGCTGTCTTGCGATTCTGTGAGCATGGATAAATGCACAGCAGATATGATATAATTTCTTTAGCACAAACCACACTTGTGCTGAAGAATTTATAATATCCTGGAAACTTGAGGCGAGTAGAAATATAATTCCAATCATGTAAGTAATCCCTGAATATATTTTAAGTTTAACTCACAAAATAAGGTCCCTAGTTCACGATCAATAACCTATCAATCAAATAGATGAGAGAAGCAATATATGATACAAAAGAAAGCAAGGGGGAAGCTGAAAGCCCAGATGAGAAATGCAGGTGCCAGACACCAGAAAGGCCAACTAGTCCCGATGCAGTTACTGACCTTTCAGAAAGCATACATGATTGGTGGTACAGGGAGGCCAAAGTGTGTCTTCACAGACATCTTTTATGCATGTGGCATAACCTCCAACAGTTTTCCAATCAAAAGGATTATTGCTTCCACTACAGATTCTGGAAAACTCTTCAGCTTTTTCTCAATAGTTGATGATTGACCATGGTTTTCTGAAACTATAAGCAGGATGGCTCTCGCAACAAAAAGACCACATCTCAAATATGGATATACAAGTTGTGGTTGAGTACACTGGGTATGTTTCTTAGAAATTTGCCACATATTTGAATTTAACAAAGACCAGAATGAATTTAGCTAATTCTCTGCAGATATTATTTTGACTGTTAGTTCTCTGCGGATATTTCTTTTCAGATTTACATGAAAATATTTTATCAGGAAATAGGACCAATATGAGTTCAAGCTGATGATCCTTGTGCATTGAGAGGCTTACGAAGGCCATGAACAAAGTGAGGATCAGAAGATGCAAGTACTCACTTTTTTAATTAAGTAAATGCAATCTTATAAAATAGAGAAAACCAACAATAAGGTGATGCTTTGGATCAGTACAAATGGGGTGTAGGTTAATTCACACCCAACTTCCTGCAGCGATGTTACCAAGTCTATCAAGTTATACATTCCAAAATAATTTTGAGAATTCAGCACATAATTACTATTTCAAGTTATGTAAAATATGCTCTTTTTCCCCCGAAACATCATTGATTCCTCTCAATCCAGAACACCAAAAAGCTGATTGATAAGATCGAATATACACAAAAGCACGGGTAGGGATTTCAAGTTTTCAATGAAAAGGGTAATTACTGATATTGAGCACTCAACGTAAAACTAAATAAAATGACATCATGAATCACAATATATGTCAAGGGCAGGTAAGTTCCTCAATACAACAGAACTTTACCTCACTTTCTGTTAGAGCATCCATACCAAAGAGACTTAGAAGTAATTGTGTGGTAAATCCATTGATAATGAGTGTCAGTAGTAACACACTTCCACCAGTGAGGAAAACAAACTGTACCATAAAGAAAAGAGTTCCAGTTGCACATTTGTATCCAATTGATTCATCTCCTTACCCTAATCATGATCAATGTACAACATCAATAACCTATCAATCAAATAGATGAGAGAAGCAATATATGATACAAAAGAAAGCAAGGGGGAAGCTGAAAGCCCAGATGAGAAATGCAGGTGCCAGACACCAGAAAGGCCAACTAGTCCCGATGCAGTTACTGACCTTTCAGAAAGCATACATGATTGGTGGTACAGGGGAGGCCAAATTGTGTCTTCACAGACATCTTTTAGGCATGTGGCATAACCTCCAACAGTTTTCCAATCAAAGGATTATTGCTTCCACTACAGATTCTGGAAAACTCTTCAGCTTTTCTCAATAGTTGATGATTGACCATGGTTTTCTGAAACAAATTGTACTATAAGCAGGATGGCTCCCTGAGAGAAAACCATGTGTAGATGTTATTAAGTAAAAATATATATATATATCATCCCTCTTCCCGCGCCTACATTGTGGATATGCTTCATAAAGCTTGATAAATAAGTGAGAAAATGATCAGCTTCTTATGCTCTCAAACAATTATAGGTTACTCGATCGGTGATAAGTTCTATTGTTCTTACTCTAATTGTTGTACGATATCAAATCGAAGGTATCTTCTCCAAAGATATTGAATATATATATATATATATATATCTAGTTTAGTAGAAGAAAAAAGAGCAATTTCAAAAAAATATATGTAAAATTTGTGATAAACTTGAATAATATTGAACTGCTTACAACTAATTGAAATAACAATAGGTCTTAAAAATTTCAGTTAATATAAAATTGTTTTATACTTTAATTTGTAAAAGTGTATTTGAATATTCATACCAACAACACATCGATGTAGTAATGATAAGTTTTTACCTAATTAAGCAAGTCACTTAAGAATCGTCAAGAACAAATAAAACTTTTACTTTAAAAAAATCTAGTGAATTTTTTACTCATGCTCCCCTTTATCCTTTATAACAACTGGAAATGTTGCCAAAAATCTCAATGAAAGGTCTAAACAATTTGGGCTAAATTCTAACATTCTGTTTATTTCAGCCTCTCCAAAATTATGTCAATAATAATAATAAAAGAAGATGTTATTTTAGAATAAATTTTATTAAATAATTTACATATTATTAGTCATAAATTAGTAGATGGTAAATTTCTCAATTATCTAAAAAAGAATTCTCAATTAAATTGTTAGCTTCAAATTTACATCTTATTAGTGTTTTTGTGTCATCTATTTTCTCTCTTTTAAATATAATTTATCTTTTTACTTTATCTTGTATTTTTTTAAGAGATAGTATGAACATGTTTTTGTTGCTAAGTGTTAGCTTCAAATTTGAACAATATGTCAGTAATAATAAAAGAAGACGTTATTTTAAAATGAATTTTATCAAATAATTTACATATTATTGATGATAAATTTTTCAGTTGCTCAAGAAAGGATTCTCAATTAAATTGAAGCTTGAAACTAATTTTGTTGCATTTTGAATCTCTCTCTTGTTAAAAAAAAAAAGAATTTTCTCTCATGTCAAGTTTGTATCCCTAATTTTATTTTATGAAATGAACAATTCTTTTTAGATTTTGTGAATTTGTAACATAACATTAATAATTCTCGAACTACGAAAATAATTATTCAGTGAATGACATTTTCCTTCCTCATATTTAAGTCCTATCTAATTACTTTAATTTTTCAATAGACAATTAAACTTCCTTAAACTTATACTCCTATATAGATTTTAAGAGTCATATATGCAATATTCTCTTTTTGATAGTTATACAAATAGATCTACCCTTTCGTAATCATATTTGTAGGAACACGTAAATATACACTTACAAGAATAGTATCACAAGAAAAACAAAAAGGGTAAATTAAAAAAAGAAGAGAGAAACACAATTTTTTTTTACTTAATTCTTTATTTCTCTTTCTTCATATTGTTCAAATTTGAAGCTAACACTAAGCAACAAAAATACTATCTCTAAAAAAAATACAAGATAAAGTAAGATAAATTATTTTTAAAAGAGAGAAAATAAATGACACAAAAACACTAATAACTGAGAAAGAAAACTTGATTTTGATTTATGAAAATTCATACATATTGAAGATGAAAAAAGGAAGAAGTATCAACTTACCAAATATGTAAAATTACATCCATATATAACTTCATTATTTCACCTATTTATAATTTGTAAAATATAACAATCATATATCAAAAGTAATAATATAATTTCATAATTAAAAACAATAATAAAAAAAAAGCATTCAAAAGAACAAATCATACTATCTCTTAAAAAATACAAGATAATGCAAGAAGATAAATTATTTTCACAAGAAAGAAAATAAATGACACCAAAAACACTAATAACTGGGAAAGAAAACATGATTTTGATTTATTAAATTCATACATATTGAAGATGAAAAAAGGAAGAAGATATCAACTTACCAAATATGTAAAATTACATCCACATATAACTTCATGATTTCACCTATTTATAACTTGCAAATATCACAATCATACATCAAAACTAATAATATAATTTCATAATTAAAAACAAAAAATGAATTCAAAAGAACAAATCACATGACATCAAAAGAAATGATAAACACAATTTATAGAGGAAGTAACATAAAATTTGTTACTTATTACCTGAAAGATGGAAAATAGTTGAAGAGTAACGAGGAAAGAGAAAATATTTAAGTGTACTCTTTTCTGAATTTTTGTAAAAAACAAATTAAGAAAAAAAGGTAGTAAAAAATTGACAAAAAAAGATAAATGGCAATCCTGCCCAAAGAATCATTCAGCTTTATATATAGATATAGATTTATTTTGGGGTTACCCACCAATAAAAGCAATCCGAAAAGTGCATCAGTACTTAATGGAGCAGAATACTGTACTGGTATCTACGCATTATACACCTTATTAACTTAGGAATATATTTCATACCAGTACAAATGATACTAGACAAGCAAGTTATGTAAGTAAAAATAATTCTCAAGACAAAATGATATTCGGTGCACATTTGTATCCAATTGATTCATTTCCTTACCCTAACTAATCCATTTCCTATCAGCCAGACACTAGTCAGCTTGGAACCCTTGGTGTAGAGTGTCTTCAATATAAAATGTAGAGAGATTGTTAGATGACTTCATGAGCCAACTCCCAGATCCATGAAGACTTAGATTCCCTCCCATCAGAGTTGTGCAACGAAGAAACAAGGGGAAAAAAGGACCTCTTATGAACAAGAGGCACAACTCTCAAAGAGTAGGAGTTTGGCATTCCATGTTAATTAAGAAAGAAAAAGGACACATGCATTGCGGTTAGAATCTGATTACATATAACCACTACTTGACTACCTACTGCATCAGCTTCTGCGAGCCATGTTTGCAATGGCAACAAACCACGCATGTGTCTCGTCTCAAGAACAAGTCAATGCAAGGCCCAAAACAATAGAATATAAATTAATAAAACAGCACACAATTATATTGTCTTCAACTTAAACGAACAATCTTTCCAAAACTTATAACAAACTTTTTACGCAACACTAGAATAGATGACCCACTTTCAATTCCTAATTTACTAGTAATAATGTCCAACATTGACAAATGTAAAGCTAAAGCTTGAACCCGAGCCAACACGACTTCACATCTACTATATGTCCAAACCTCCCTTCGCCTACATACATTAAAAGTAGAAGAGAGAGAGTTAGTAACTTGCAAATACTGAAACTTAGTCATTAGTCAATATAAAGTAAAAAGTAATGTATATCTCATTACCCTTGGCCTAACGATTGGGAATTCCAAAGAATTATATAGATGGAGGCGATCCACCACCTTAACTTGAAAATATTCGTTCTCGCCATTCTTGACTGAAAGGGTAATATAGTACATGAAGTGTTTGATGACATGCCCATTAACCTTGAGAATCTCATTAACCACATATGAAGTGCCCTAAAAGAATACACAATCAGCTTTCTATAGAAGAAAACTAGAAAGACAATGTGACTAGAGCATACCATTTTTTCATTGTAGTGCTGAATTGCCCGTCTAGCAAAATCCTTCATCTTTTCCATAAATTCAGGCTGTTGTAAGTAGCCTTGCATGGGAAATATGGAAGTCATTGGAGCCGAACCAGGATAATCTTTGATGTCAAATCCCTATTAGAGACAAACATAAGTCGCTATTAAGAGTCGATAATCAGCTCAATCTTAATAATCACAGGAACAGAACAGGAAATTTCGAAATCCAATCTTCAGGACTTTACCATTCAAATCATATGATGCACACAACAAAAATTAAAATACTAGGGATTATGTAGATCAGAAACTCTTAAGACGGCTATCTATCTATTGCTGTTTTTGCGATAACACTAAGAGGGAGAAATCGGTACCTCACTGTCATGGATTTGTTCAAAATACCTTATCCAGCAAGCTTTATCAATGACTCTATCACCACGAGAGTAAGGGCGATACCATAGTTTCTCCACATCCCGTTCCGGCGTGTCACATTCTGAAGAATTATCTTCGGACTCGCTGGATTCAGCATCTTCTTCATTCACCTTTTGTTTCAGCCAATCCAATTCCTCGTCATCCGATTCTTCGTCCGAGTAAACAAATTTGTTGACACCTCCGACTGTTACCAAAGGCTCCGGCAATGGCGGCGACGGCGATTCGACGTCATCCGATTCTTCGTGCTCCGGCAATGGGACTGGCGGCATGACTACGGATTGATAGTTTATGATAGTCGGTAAGAAAGCAAAAACTCAATCACAGAATTAATTGGGTAGGGCATCAATATTTGATTTTACGTTTTAATCCATTTAATTATTATTTTTATATTTTATAAATCTAATTTTCCATTACCTAAGACTTAATTCTAAGGAAAGTAGATATATTCAAAAAGTACAGATGATCTTTAATAAAACTTATATCTTAACAAAAAAAAATTATATTTATATAGTTTGCACAATTACTTATTAATTTTATGTTAAAGGGAATATAAACTCCCTTCATATTAGCTTACGTTCATGATTCTATCACGAAAATAGCCCTTTAATCTATTCATATTAGCTAAAAGACATGTTTCTATTAAGAAAATTTTTTTTTTTATAAATACTACTAACAAATAAAGCAAAGAAAGAGATTATGAATAAACTATGTGTTTGTTAGCTTAAAAAATCTCTCCATAAGACACATGCAGCAAAAAAAAAAATTGCAATCTCATACCCACAAAGTAAAGCAATTAAGATAATTTATTGATAATAATTATAATTATAAGACATTTAAGATTAAATTTTTAGGCACATGAAAAATTATTGAGAAATAAAACAAAAGCAATTACGATAATTTATTGATAATAATTATAATAAATTAGACTCTGTGACTTTCTACTGCATTAATAAAAGGGAAAATTACGCGGTTAAGCAAACTTATACTACTTAATTACTCATCATAGCTATAATTTGCTATAATTACCACTCACGATTAACATTATACATTAATTACGCGGGCTGACTTCGAGTTTGTATAATTAGTCACGTTTGTATATGTATAATTCGCCAGAATATACAAATACATATGTATAATATACAATTATCTAACCTATATACATATACAATTCACCTCTCTCCCACTCTCCTGCCCTCTCTCGCTCGCCTCTCTCCTCCCTCTCCCAATCTCGCTTGCCTCTCTCCTCCCTCTCACAATCTCTCTCTCCTCCCTCTCCCAATCTCACTTGCCATAGATACAAATACATATGTATAATGTACAATTATCTAACCTATATACATATACAATTCACCTTTCTCCCACTCTTTGCCCCCTCTCTCTCGCCTCTCTCCTCTCTCTCCCAGTCTCACTCGCCTCTCTCTTCTCTCTCCCAGTCTCACTCGCCTCTCTCCTCCATATAACATGTAACTACGAATTGTAATTATCAAACTATAGCTATGGAGAGTAATTGGGTTATTTTTGAGTGGCTATATGTGAAAGTTTCCCTTAATAAAAAATATATATAATATATAATAAATACATTTAAGATTAAATTATTAGGCATATGAAAAACTATTAAGAAATAAAAGATAAAAAAAAAGTATTTTTTTCTTTCTTTTTACTTTCCTTGGTGTTGGGAGGTGAAAGGGGTGCCTTCAACTTATAAAGCATATTTGAAGAAGATTTTAAATTTATATATGTAGAATAAATATGAGAAATTACTCTAGAGCAATTCAAAAATTAACTGATAAATAAAAAAAAAAGATAAATGATGATTCTCCTTTATATATATGGATGTTTTAAATTAAATAAAAAAAGTAAAATAAATAGATATATATAGATAGACTAGTTATTAGGTTCCCGCGCCAGCGCGGGCCCAATGTATATTACTTCGTCCGTCTCATTTTATGTGAGGTAGTTTGATTCGCCACGGAGTTTAAAAAAGAAATGAAGACTTTTAAAATTTGTGGTCCAAAATGAATGATATAAATTTGTATGACTGTAAATTATTTCATTAAGGGTAAAATAAATATTTTATTATCAAATTGTTACTTAATATAGAAATGTGACATTCTTTTGGGACTGACTAAAAAGGAAAGTAAATAACATAAATTGGGAGTAGTTCTTTGTTTCAATTTATGTGACACCGATGAAATTTGGAGAGTTATATAATTTTTTGTATGTGATTTTGTTAAATATATTTTGAAGTTGTTAATTTATTGTGATTTATAGCACTTCTTATATCATTTTCAAATAATATATATTACTCTTTCTGTTCCATTTTATGTGACGTAGGTACTTTTACGAAACTCAACTAAATTTCTTATATGATTCTTAAATATTTTTAGTTGTTATTTT